CGCAGTTCTTTTGGTTTTTATTGTAGGGTAATAAATGTTATCTATAAGGACTTTAACAAGGGCTTTGACAAGGTCCCACATGTCAGGCTGGTCATGAAGGTTAGGTTGCATTGGGATCCAGAGAGAGCTAGCTAATTGGATTGAAAACTGGTTCGATGGTAGGATGCAGAGGGTGATGGTTAAAGGTTGTTTCTCAGACTGGAGGCCTGTGACTAGAAGGTGTGCCACAGAAGTCGGCGCTGGGATCTCTGTTATTTGTTATTGACATAAATGATCTGGATGTGAGTGTACAAGGCATGATTAGTAAGTTTGTGGATGATACAAAATTAGGAGGTATCATTGATAGCAAAGAAGGTTATCAAAAATTACAGAAGGATCTTGATCAGATGGGGTATTGGGCTAAGGATTGGCAAATGCAATTCAATACAGATAAGTGTGAGGTGTTGCACTTTGGAAAGTCAAACCAAGGTAGGACTTATACAGTAAATAGTAATGTCCTAAGAAGTGTTGTGGAACAGAGGGACCTCGGAGCACAAGTACATAGTTTGTTGAAAGCGACACCACAGGTAGAAAGGGTGGTGAAGAAGGCATTTGGCATGCTGGCCTTCATCAATCGAGACATTGAGCATAGTTGGAACGGTATATTACAGTTGTATAAGTCGTTAGTGAGGCTGCATTTGGAGTGTTGTGTACAGTTTTGGTCACCCTGTTAAAGGAAAGACATAGTTAAACTGGAAAGTGTGCAAAGAAGATTTATGAGGATGTTGCCAGGACTAGTAGGCCTGAGTTATAGGGAGAGGTTGGCCAGGAAAGGACTTTATTCCTTGGAATGTAGGAGATTGAGGGGTGACCTAATTGAGGTGTATAAAATCATGAGGGGCATAGATAGGATTAATGCGTGTAGTCTTTTTCCCAGGGATGGGAAATTGAAAACTAGACGACATAGATTTAAGGTGAGAAGGGGACGATTTAAGAAAGACCTGAGGGGCAACTTCTTCACGCAGAGAGTGGTGCGTATATGAAATGGGATGCCAGAGAGAGTTATTGAGGCAGGTACAATAGCAACATTTAAGGAAACCCTTGGAAAGGTACATGGATGGAAAGGTTTTAGAGGGATATGGACCAAATGCAGGCAGTTGGAACTGGCTGAGTGGGCACCATGGTCGACATGGACCAGTTTGGTCCAAAGGGCCTGTTTCCATGTTGTATTACTCAATGACTCTATTATGTTTGCAAATGGAGGTTAATTATTGTTCTTGAGACAGGTTTAAACTAAGTTAAAAGGTTGAGGGTTGTGGGGGAAACTGAAATCAAAATTCAAACAGAAAAATGGACACAGAAATCTGGAAAATGCAGGCAATATTAGAATAGAGTGTTTCAATTATAGGAGGGATGAGACTGTGGGTATGGAAAAGGGAATGCATTGCAACTTCAGGTTATTCAGAGTACATGTGTAAACCTCCTTGGTGGGGTGCAGATAGAAGTTCCTATTTGAGATTATGAAATTGTACTTATAGCAAAGAACTGATAGTGAGGAATCAGATTTAAATATTCCTGGCTACAATCTAATTAGGAAAAAGGGAGTAAATGGGAATAGGACAGGAAGATGCTGTTAAAATACTGAAGAGGAATGATGTAATTGAGGTCAGAATCTAAATAGAGTTAAGGAAAGAATGTAGAATTGTTATGCTGCTTCTGTATTTGGTAGACTAAGAATTAAGAAGGAAATGGATGGATAAATGTGTTGAAAAATTATACAAAGATGCTAGAATTAGATGAACAATGATAATGAAACATTTCAAGTATCTTCATGTCATCTGGACAGCAATGGTGTTCAAGTCAAAGGGGTGGGGTTATGGGATTTCCCAAACTGCGAACAGGACAAATTAATAATCAGTGCGTCCCCAGTAGTTCAGGGCAGTGAAACAGGGTTAGCGGAACTTATTTCAGTGGAAGAACTTTTGGAAAGTGATGCTGGCACCATGAGTCAATTTAGAGTAGTCATGAAAGATGAGAAAGAGAAATCAAATGTGAAAATATTCAACTGTGGTGAGTTACAGTGGGATCTTCCACTGATTAGAATCAAAGATTGGTAGGTCAAACAGGAACTGAGCAATGCAAAAGGATCAAAGAAAAATAGTTTGGGTATAGATTAGATATGTATCGACGAGATGGGAAATGACCAAATTGCAGCTCCTTAACCCAAGTTATGAGATGAAAGGGAAAACTTGCAATTCTTTCATGATTTTACAATCACTAAACATCGAGGATGCTGACAAATGAAAGAAGGAGACTGGAGATTCTCTGATCATCATCTT